AATGATGAGCAATAAATATGCGTATATGAATAAATATGAAAGTTGGTAAATTAAACAATGGTATTCAAAACTGGCGTTTAACAACGCTAAAAGGTAAAAAGACCAGTCTTAGGTAAAATCCCATAAGGTGCATATTACTACATTATTATTATACAGTATTTATATAGAGCCAGAAAGGTTTGCTCAGCGCTGTACATTATAGTGGGGGACAGAACATGAGACAATACAGTAACAAAACAATACACGAGGGGTTCGGGGGCCCTGCTCTTTCGAGCTTACAATCTAGGAATTAGTGACAATTGTGCTCTAGTCCGTATGATAAATATTGCGAACATCCGTGATTGCTGTGGCTGTGAGAATAGGTGTACAATGCACTAACCAGAAAACACAAATGATTGTGTGTTGGAGTATATAAGACCTACTCCTTGGTACTCAGGGAATGGAACCTTTACACACGGATGAAGTCGTCAAGACTTAAACGCCAGTTTTGAATACCATAGTTTCATTTACCAACTTTCATATTTATTCATATACGCATATTTATTGCTCATCATTATCATTCTAGTGCTGCATATTTTCACTTGTTTATATTTTCACTGGAGGATCTTGAGGTTTCCCTCTTTATGCTAGCAGCTCCCCATCCATACCGCAACCCAGCGCTCATATAGCTTGTTCTTTTAAGGCTCCTGTATGTGGCTAGGCTCCCAAAAAGTCCCCCACATGTGGTATCCCCATACTCCGTAGAAGAAGCAGAATGTATTTTGGGGTGTAATTCCACATATACCCATGGCTTGTGCGAGAAATAAATAATTTAAATGACAACTTTGTGTAAAAAAAAAATGTTTTTGTCATTTTCCAGAAACTTGTGGAAAAAAAAAATAAAAAATCTTCCATGGACTCAATATGCCTCTCAGCAGATAGCTTAGGGTGTCTACTTTCCAAAAAGGGGTCATTTGAGGGTGTTTGTACTATCCTGGTGTTTGTACTATCCTGGTATTTTAGCACCTCAAGAAATGTGATGGGCAGTCAGAAAGCTGTGTAAAATCCATTATCTATACCATAGTTTGTAGACGCTATAACTTTCACACAAAGCAATAAATATACATTTAATGGGATTTTTTTAACCAAAAACATGTAGCAGAATACATTTTGACCTAAATTTATGACGACATTTTAGTTTTTTTGGATATTTTTTATGGCCGAAATGAGAAAATAGGTTTTTTTTTAAAAAACATTTTTTTTCTTCTAAAATTTTCTTGTTTATAGAGCCAAAAATAAAAAAGTGCACAGGTGATCAAATACCACCAAAAGAAAGCTCTATTTGTGTGAAAAAAATGACATAAATTTAATTTATGTATTGTATTGCATGACTGCGCAATTGTCAGTTAAACTAGCACATCGCTGTATAGCAAACAAATGGCGTAAATTGCAGTATCTATACCATAGTTTGTAGATGCTATAACTTTCACACAAAGCAATCAATATACACTTATTGGGATTTTTTTTACCAAAAACATGTAGCAGAATACATTTTGGTCTAAATTTATAACTAACTTTGAGTTTACTATATATTTTTTATAGCTGAAAGTAAAAAATATAGTTTTTCTTCCAAATTTTCGGTCTTTTTTTGTTTATAGCGTGAAAAATAAAAAGCGCACAGGTGATCAAATACCACCGAAAGAAAGCTCTATTTGTGTGAAAAAAAGGACATAAATATTGTTTGGGTGTAGTACTGCATGACCGTGCAATTATCAGTTGAATTAGTGCAGCGCCGAGTAGCAAAAAGAGGCCTGGTCATTAAGGGGGGTAAATCCTCAGGAGTGCAAGTGGTTAACCTGCATGCTTACTTTATTTAAAATCAGCATTTAAAACAGCTCACAGTAAGAGACTATCATTCAACATAGGCAGCAAGTTCTGGGAGAGGCCATCTCTCGTTACTGCCTGTGTGATTGCAGCAGCATCCAATAGGACCAAACAGCGTTATTGCGTCACTGGAGGAATGCTGGGAAATCCAGTGTATATACACATGCTGCATGTCATCTTCTAGGATTATAGAAGTCCATCAAAGTAGGGGAATACAGCTATAAAGCACTGAAGGTTGAAGATTGCGGGATTATGCACAGAGAAGAGCGTGGTCCTGACACATGAAAAGGAAAGGATTTGCTTACACAGTGCACTAAGATATGTGGAACCTATAAACTGGCACAAAAGTGTGGTAGTTATTTATTGTCGCTCATACATATTTTGAAAAGTTGGTAGCAGCACAGGGATATCATAATTGTAGTGTTTATTATTTAAAAAAATAATAATTTAACCCCTTACAAACACGTTTTACTTACCAAAGACACAAAGAGCGTGGCTTGCCCCGCCTCCTCACTGCCTGTGATTGACAGATGAAGGAGCCAATGGCCCCCCGCTGCTGTGTCTGAGCCAATGAGGAGAGGGAAAGCAGAGAGAGAAAAGCTCCTGCTCTCTTGCACATTGCTGGATCGAGATCACGCTCAGGTAAGTAGGGGTCGATTGCAAAAGATTTTTTACCTTAAGGAATAAAATACATTAAGGTAAAAATCTGCTTTTAGAACCACTTTAATTCAGTTAGGTTCTCCTTAAATGGCAACCTCGGATAACTTACTCTCAAACCCCACGGTTTGATAGCCCATTGTATTTTCCGTACTGCCTAACATGATCAGCAAGGCCCTGCATCCCAAAATTCACCACACATCACCTTGTCTTACATCATGAGAAATATGTCTTCCAAGTGCAATAGTAGACTTTGTGAGAATTTGATTTCCCGGTCAAGTCAAGCACCCAAGAAGCAGCATGGTAAACTGGCTCTTGGGACAGAAGATGTGGACAATCTGAGAAGGTTCACGGAGAGTTCCACATGCATCTCAACCATTCTAGTGCGAAGAGAATCACTGGAATTCCCTCCATCTTAATGCTGTAGAGCAAGCGATAAACACTCCCACCTGCATCAATGATCACAGAACACCACAGGGTGAAAGGACCATTCTCGGGAATTCAGTCACTGATGGCTGATGAGGACGTTTGCCTCCCAATTTTATACGTCACGTCAGACAAGGCTGGAATGTGAAGTTCTGCTCAAGCCAGAATCAGATCCATTTCTTTCAGCTGAGAGACTTCTAGTTTCTCTCTGATGGTTGATGTAATTTACTGCCATGGAATTGCCTGCCTGGTTCCTAGACGAATGACTTTACAGATGAGAGGTTCCTCAGTGAAGGTATAAATTAATCACAATGAGCTACAGAATTTTGATCAAGAGATGTACTTTCTCTGACAACAAAGACCCTTGTACCGAGAGGGTAACTAGGACTCCACAAAGCCCAACAGGTTATTAACCATTGTTACTTTGGGAGAAAGGATTTTCCTGATTGCAGCATTTAACTTGTGACCCACCATGCCAGGGCAAACCTAGCTTTGATGGTAAGGAAAATGCGATGGTCCAGAGACAACGTGCTCTTGTTTCACGTTGTCAAAATGTTGAGCTGCAATAATATAGAGTGAAGTTGGAAATACAGAGCTGCCTCAAAAGTGGCCACGACTATGCCAAAAATTCTCAAACAAAAGCAAAGTTTTGGTTGGCTTCTGGACTGTAGAGTACAAAAGTGGGAACTGAAGTTTGACCAGGGGAAAGAAAACATTGGTCAGGGTGGTATACAGTTGTGTTCAAAATAATAGCAGTCAGACATCACTAACCTGATCAATCACTGTTTTTGGTAGAAATGATATTTCTACATGGCAAATAATTTACTAGCAGGTGTAGTAGAGTAATAGAAATCCAACAGACCCAACAGTCATGACATGCATGCTGCTGATTCTGTGTCATTGAATCACTAATTGAAAGGGGCATGTTCAAAATAATAGCAGTGTGGAGTTCTATTAATGAGGTCATTCATTCTTTGAAAAACAGGTGGCAATTATTGCCCTTATTTAAGGAAGGAAGGCAGCAAATGTTGTACATGCTGGTTACAGTGCATTTCTCTCTGAAATTCTGAGGAAAATGGGTCGTTCCAGACATTGTTCAGAAGAACAGCGTACCTTGATTAAAAAGTTGATTGGAGAGGGGAAAACATATAAAGAAGTGCAGAAAATGATAGGCTGCTCAGCTAAAATGATCGCAAATGCTTTAAAATGGCAACCAAAACTGAAAGACGTGGGAGAAAGTGAAAAACTACCATTCAAATGGATAGAAGAATAGCCAAAATGGCAAGGACTCAGCCAACAATCAGCTCCAGGAAGATCAAAGAAGGTCTAAAGTTACCTGTGAGTACTGTTACAATTAGAAGACGCCTATGTGAAGCCAAGCTATCTGCAAGAAGCCCCTGCAAAGTCCCAGTGTTGCAAAAAAAGACATGTGCTGAAGAGGTTACAATTTGCCAAAGAGCACATTGACTGGCCTAAAGAGAAATGGTGCAACGGTTTGTGGACTGATGAATGTAGGATTGTTCTTTTTGGGTCTAGTGGCCGGAGACAGTTTGTCAGATGACCCCCAAACACTGAATTCAAGCCACAGTACACTGTGAAGACAGTGAAGCATGGTTGCGCAAGCATCGTGATATGGGGATGTTTCTCATACTACGGTGTTGGGCCTATTTATCGCATACCAGGGATCATGGATCAGTTTGAATACATCAGAATACTTGAAGAGGTCATGCTGCGTTATGCTGAAGAGGAAATACCCTTGAAATGGGTGTTCCAACAAGACAATGACCCCAAACACACCAGTAAATGTGCAACATCTTGGTTATCTATGCACAAATGTTTTGCCTTTCATTTCTATTTTAAACTGAATGGGTTGTCTTAAAAGGTAAGGGTTTACATATACATTAAGTGCCTATAAATGGGGATGTCTGGAGGCAAGACATCTCTTGGCTGTTCTGCACAGAGTGAGAACATACAGGAGGAGAACAATTGAGGGATGAGTGCAATGTAATTCCAAGTAGGCATTGTGAAATCACCAACGAATCTGCTGAACGTACCTATTTAGTTCATTCCTGATCTCCTCTAGCTCCAGGCGATCATTCTTCACTATGTCCTTCTCTTCTGCTGCCAGATAACGCAGCCTCATTTGCTCCAGTTCTTCTTGCTGCTTCTTTAAACGTGCCATAGCATTCTCTTGCTCCCGCTATAACAGAATATTAAAAGAAAAATTAACAAGAAATGTTTAAATTTCAATTTTAGAAATAGGAAAATGGATGGTTTAATTTGAGTAACTATTTAAATATTACCTCATAATTATTTCTCAAGAAAGCAAAAATAATCAAGGGAAGAGAGAAATGTGTTTCTTATTAAGGTCTGAAATGCTCATATGTTTTTTTTACCTGTTCTGAATAAACTAATTTTCTCCTGTAAGTTCAGCAATTGTTACAAATATTCAGGTTTTCTTTTCTCAAACACATATGCGCCTTTAAAACATATATTAGAATTAATAATGTTACACTAGTTCATTTTAATGAGGCAAAACACATCTCACTGCTATGAGATTCTTTCACTTAAGTCCTTTGTGTTTACGTTGAGATTCCTTAATATGAAAGTTAAGAATGAACACTAAAAGCCACATATGCAGCTTGGAAAAACCATTTTCAATAAATAAGCTTTCATAAAGAAGAAGAAAAAAAAGAAAAAAAGTAAAAAAAAAAAAAAATGTTCCATACGGCAAGAAAATAAGAACGAATAAAAAAAATAAAAACTATACAATGAAACAACAAAAACCAAGGTTCAAAATTGCAAAGAAAATTCCATATGGAGAGATCTCATGCCTTACAATAAATGCCAATGTTTCAAATGTAAACTTTTGTATTTATACAGTACATATGTGTATTCCATTTAATGAAAATTCTAAACTCTGTAAGGCAAACTCACAAAAATGTTTAAATTGCTCAAACTGTATACCAATTAGTCAGTTGAGGAAACTGTATCACAAAGCATTTAGATATTACAATTTTTCTCTATGATTTTGGGAGCAGTCCCACGTAAATGCTAAGCTCATACCAAACTTGTCCTAACTTACAAAACCTGACAGTTTCTGTTCATAAAATGAACAAACTTGTGCCCTGAAATACTCTGCAACTATAGAAAAAAACAAAAAAACAAAAAAAAAAAAAAGATTAGCTGCAGGAGGCTGCCCCCATTCGCTGATGCCTCAAATCATCCGGACTTAAAAGTATTCTAAAGCATACAGAAACCAGCTATGAACACATCCAATTATCATATCAAAAAAAGGATTATATATTATACCTGATTATTTAAAAGGCATGTATCCCGTTTATGAGAACTGCGATTTAGCTGTGTAATACAAGTAACCAGTAATGAATCTGTCATTTCCTTTGCAGTCAAATAGAATTTTACCATGAAAACTTTCTTGAGCAATTTGCCAGGTTATTAAAAGTGTCTACTGTTATTTATTAAGCCAATATAATATTTCATGCCTATGAAGTGAACTTGAAACCCCACGAGAAACCTTTCCACTAACTACGCTATGTCATGGCAATGTAAATCCCAGTCAAACTGGTACAGAGATAATGTGGAGTAGGGGAATGTGTAATTCTTACAGTCCATTAAGAACACTGTTAAATTCCACAAATCAGCCGGTCTCAAATACCCCGGCTACAACTCAGAAGTTAGGTATTAACATTGAACACATTATGGAAAGGGGTGCTGTGATAGCTTATGTTTGCTGTGTTCTGGGATTGTGCCTAGTAACTCTCTGAACTATGTCTGGCTCCACTTGATACCATCAATCTTTCACTCATATAAGCTACATCTGAAAATTAATTATTGTCTTATATACATTCTGTGTTTTGGCAAGCTGACCGAGTCATTAATATATGACCCAACTGTAGCTGTATGTGTAAAACACGACTATGACTATTTATTATGGTGCACTTTCAGGCATTTGCAGAGACTTTCTTACATTAACAAGCAGTGAGGATGAAGGGGTTTTTCAACAGCTGACCGACGATTAAACTGTTTGTGTTTGCAAATAGGACATGATTAAAGTTCAAACAAACTCATATGTAGTAAATGCAGAGCCAGTATTTGTGGCTAAGTATGCCAAGTCTAACAATTTAAATAATCACATATGATATATATGACAAATTTAAATACAATTTACAATAATAATTACTGAACAAGACAGTTTGCTATGTAGATTCAATAAATCTGTAACTTTTTTATTATAATAATAATAAAAAAAATAATAATAAAAACAGCAGCTTTGGACTGCCGCAACTGAGAAAAAAGTTATAAAATTTAGCCATCCCACATGTAGTTCCCATTTTTCCTGGGTTGATTTATATAAAATAAAAAAAAAACTGCAATATTGTCCAGTAGCTGTGCAGCACTCTGTATATACAGCTATAGAATTGCAATCATACAACATGTAACAGTATGACAGCTTGGAGAAAAATGACAGAACTAAAACTGCCAACTAATATTAGGTCATTGTTTACGATCACAGTGTTTTACATCAAAAACAACTTCCCCACTCATGTTACTGTAAGTAAACTAAACAGCAGCATAAAGCACAGGATATGTGAAATAGCAGCAAGATAAAATGTTATCTGGCTCTCAGGGAGATGCTGATACCGCCACTTTATCTGGAGCTCTTTAACAGTAGGATGCCATGCACTCTATGCTTCCATCACATTTTCAACACTGGATAGGTGCTAGATTGTTTGCCGGCAGTGTTGAAATGTCAGAAATCTAGCAGCAAACTTACTGAAGCACTGTACAAATATACAAGATGCAAAGGGGTCTTGAGCAATGTTTCAAGAAAAAAAAAAAATATATAGAGCTCTTCAAATAAGCATTTTTGTCTTCTTAAAAAACATTTGCATTCATTTTTAAATAAGCTTTTTTAATATTTTATTTTAAAGCTCAACTTCAGCTTAAAGTGGTAATAAACCTAAAAGTAAAAAATTTAATAGACTGCAGTTTACCAATCATTAGATATGGTGGCTGCATTCGTTTTCTTTTAGGCTTTGTTCCCCTTGGTTTTCACCTGGTGATCTGGCAAGTAACACACCTCCTGTATTAGAGTGCCTTCATTCTGGATGAATGAGCACAGGGGGCTTCTCTGGACATCAGCACTATTAGTCTGGCTCCAGCTAACACTTTATAAGAAATAACATTAAAAAAAACTTTTTCCTTTTGGGATAAAGGTTTTACATAAATAAATAAAAGCTTATCATTGTAAGCAAATCCGGTCAGTGTTAAATGGTTTGTCTCATCCCTGTAACTGCTACATCTGCAGGACAGCTTGTTCTTATACAAGATATATTTACTGGCTGAATGAATCACCAGGTGAAAATAAAAGAAAGCAGAGCTCAGAGGAAGGAAGAGGCAGCACAAAGAGACAATCATGAGTGTTGCATATAGGAGGAGAGAGCAGAGTGAGAGAGAGATGAAATTATCAGTGTTTACTCCCCATTCAATGTCTCGTTCAAAGGGTGGAAATGGGGACTGGTAGTGAAAGCAAAACTGTAGCAAAGAAAGATCAGGTCCTGTCCACTGCCATAAAGGGACTGTGTAAATGGACTGTAATACAAATCCTTTGGCAGGTAAAACAGCTCACACGTATTTCATCTCTTGCACTGCCCCACCACTATGCAATCCAGTGTTAGTCTTTCTCCTGGATAAACCAGCTTCCTTTTAGCCCAGGCTATGACTCATGTCATGTGACTGGACCAAAGAACTGGTGAAAAAAAGGGTATGCATTTCAAAATGTAATAAAAGGAAAAGATATTGTGGTGCTCTAAGGGCGATGAGGGATCCAACTTGGAGATGGCCTTTAACAGACTGACGAGTGGGAGAAAGTAAGATAGCAGCCCATTTTATTTTTTTTGTTGAACACAGTTTAGAGCAGCCTTTCTAAACTTTAACATGGAGGAACCCTTGAAAAAAAACAAAACAAAACAAAAAAAAACTGCTGGCTTGGAGAACCTCTACTAATGACTATATCTACAGCTCATGGTGCATGAGTGTGATGGTCACTGGGAAGAATGCTCCTTAAATTTGTGGTCATTGGAAATAACCCCCCTTACAGAATAGCTATAAAAGATCATTGTTGACAGTGGTTACTTATCTGAAAGGCCTGAATTACTCATTGCTCAAGGAGCCCATGGCAACCTCTTGAGGGTAGGAACCCTGCTTGAGAAAGGCTGGTCCAGAAACTTAGTCCTTCCTTGGCTGCTTTGCAAAGCTATACATGGTAAAACACTTCATGTATGCAATAAAAATGCAGAAAGAAGAAAAATTCTATATAGTATATGTTTTCAGAAATGAATGGCCTATGGAACTGTGGTTGTGCTAATCAATGTGATATATTGCATTTTCCTAAACAATTTAAATTTGCAGGCCCTAAATCCTCCTCTTCCTCAAAATATTTTTATTACACACGTGGGCTTCCATGAATACTCCTAATCCTTTTAATGTATACAACTCTGGAGTGAGAAATTGAAGCTAAACAGATATGCAGATTTAATGTTTTTCTTAGCTAAACTAGACACCAAGAAAAAATTATCATCTTCAAAAAGTAAGACCAGTTTAGTGTTCTAATGTACAATTCATTTTTTAAGCAGCAGCAAGACATTATGCTCTAAAGCTGTCAAGATGTCAACTTTCTCTTCTTTGGCAACCATGGCAAAAGCAATTTGCATCCATAGCTTTACAGAATACATCTTCCTACTTGTGTATTTGGCTTACTTCTTTTCCCAAAAGTCTCAGTGTTTAGAGATAACAGGAATCCTTGGCAATACTTTCAGGCTATGTTTAATGCCCAAATAAACTCTCATGCCTTTTGATATCTTTGTAGTCCTGAACCGAAAACACGTTCTGGTTTGTGACTGATTTTTTTATAGAATTACCTTAACAACCATTTTCTGGATCAGCCTCTCTCAACCATGGTTCCTCCAGAGGTTGCCATGGGCTCCTTAAGCAATGGGCGATTCCAGCCTTTCAGATAAGTAACCACTATCAACAAAGATCTTTTAAGCTGTCCTTGGCCTAGGCTTTGGTAACCCAGGTAGTCTGCTTGTCTGTTTTCTTTCCTGGAAGGTAGACCATGTAGGATATGGAAGACATACAGCACCACCACTGGACTGTTCAAACCAGATGACTGATGGA